GGATCGAGGCTCTCACTAAAATAAATAGAGACGAGACAGGCGGCGAACCCGTGACTGCCTAACCCATCTGGGCCCTGAAGAGAGACGGAAAGGGGTGTTAGAGAAAAAGGGGGTCACAGCAGGAAAGGAATGTACTAGATACATGCAGGGCTATTTTTGGGCAGGAACGCACAGGAACGGAGTTCCGGCTGGCTCCCGAGTTGGCCACACCCAGCAGGAACTCATTAGCATAATAGGCCACACCCAACAGCAGGAACCCATTAGGATTGGCTACATTAGGGGTGTGTGGCCTAACATGCAAAGGAGTTCCTGCTACAAAAAAGCCCTGGGTTTGGACAACAAACAAGGTGAACAGAATAAGAAGCAAAAGGTGGGTGTGGCTGGATGAGCACACTTCTGGTAACATGGGGTGTGTGGCCTAATATGCTAATGAGCTGTGTTGTCATGGGTGTGGCCTAATATGCTAATGAGTTTCTGCTGTTGGGTGTGGTCTATTATGCTAATGAGTTCCTGCTGGGCTTTTTCTACAAAAAAAGCCCTGGATACATGTGTGTGAATGCAGTTACATACGCTGAGACAGTTGGGGTTCCTGAGGAAAGGACTGATTGATTGTTTGATTGATTCATTTAACCATTTATATCCCACCTTTCCTCGTGGTTCATGGTGGCTTACAGTAGTAGCTAAAAAAACTGGTTAAAAACAAAAATAAAACAGAAACGGCAAATCTCTCCCCCTCTTAAAAGATGCCTGCCAACTCAGACTCCCTCCAAAGCCCGGGCAAACAGCAAGGCCTTGCAGCGCCTCCTGAAGGTCTCCAAGGAGGGCCCCCCCTCTCCTCTTAAGGGAGCCCATGCCACATAGCCGGAGCCACAATGGGAAAGGCCCCGGTTCTGGTGGATGACAGACAGGCCACCCTAAGCGGTGGGAGAGCCAAGAGATGGCTGCCCGATTACTATAGTGGGTGTACAGGGATATATGGAAGGAGACAGTCCTTCAGATTGTCAGGGGAGGAGGTGTTTGTCTCATACCCTTTCATTTTGCCCTTTCTCCAGGGAGCTCATGGTGACATAGAATCATAGAATCACAGAGTTGGAAGGGACCTCCAGGGTCATCTAGTCCAACTCCCTGCACAAGGCAGGAAATTCACAACTACCTCCCCCAGCACCCACCACCAGTTGACCTTCACAGCCACCCTGTGAGGTAGGTTAGGCTGAGAGAAAGTGACTGTTCCAAGGCTACCCAGTCAAGCCTCATGAGCCAGGTTTCCCTCTAAGCTGAGTTAGTGTGAGCTAGCTCACCGTTTTTTAGACTCCAGCTCACACATTTTTGTCTTGGCTCAGGAAGGAGGGCTCCAGAGCAAACTAATTTATGCAGTAGCCAAATCGCTCGCTCACAACTTTCATGCCAGTAGCTCACAAAGTAGAATGTTTGTTCACAAGACTCCACAGCTTAGAGGGAACATTGCTCATGACCAAGTAGGGATCTGAACTAAGACTCCCAAATTTCAGCCCAGCGCTTTAACTGGTATACGCTTTAAACTGGGTATGCACACCAGTACACACTACACTGTCATTGCCTCGGTGTTGTCAGGAGAGCCGTTCCAAGCCGAACGGGCAGTGAGAGACAGCTGTTTCTGTCAGCTGGAGAACTCGGACAGCTGGGAGTGAAGGAGCTGAAGGAGAAATGTGGAATTGGCTGCCAGAGGATGCCGTGCTGGCCACAAGAATAAACAGCTTGAAAAGGGGATGAGAGAGATTCATGGAGGATAAGTTTATCAGTGGCTGCTACCCATGGTGACTGAAGGGAACCTCCACATTCAGAGACACTAATCCTCTGAATCCCAGAGCCAGGAGGCAACATCAGAGGCCTCCATGCCCTGTTGTTGGCCCTCCAGAGGAACTGGTTACCCACTGTGTGAGACAGGATGCTGGACTAGAGGGACTACTGGTCTGAACCTGCAGGGCTCTTCATGTTCTTATGAAGGCCTCGGCCTCTATGACCTGTTATTGGCCCTCCAGAGGAACTGGTTGGCCACTGTGTGAGACAGGAGGCTGGACTAGATGGACCACTGGTCTGATCCAACAGGGCTCTTCTGATGTTCTTAGGAAGGCCTTAGCCTCTGTGCCCAGCTGTTGGCCCTCCAGAGGAACTGGTTGGCCGCTGTGTGAGACAGGAGGCTGGACTAGATGGACCACTGGTCTGATCCAACAGGGCTCTTCTGATGTTCTTAGGAAGGCCTTAGCCTCTGTGCCCAGCTGTTGGCCCTCCAGAGGAACTGGTTGGCCGCTGTGTGAGACAGGAGGCTGGACTAGATGGACCACTGGTATGATCCAGCAGGTCCTTTCTGATGTTCTTATGAAGGCCTCGGCCTCTATGACCTGTTCTTGGCCCTCCAGAGGAACTGGTTGGCCGCTGTGTGAGACAGGAGGCTGGACTAGTTGGACCACTGGTATGATCCAGCAGGTCCTTTCTGATGTTCTTATGAAGGCCTCGGCCTCTATGACCTGTTCTTGGCCCTCCAGAGGAACTGGTTGGCCGCTGTGTGAGACGGGATGCTGGGCTAGGTGGACCACTGGTCTGATCCAGCAGGTCCTTTCTGATGTTCTTAGGAAGACCTCAGCCTCTGTGCCCTGCTGTTGGCCCTCCAGAGGAACTGGTTGGCCGCTGTGTGAGACGGGAGGCTGGACTAGATGGACCACTGGTTTGATCCAACAGGGCTCTTCTGATGTTCTTATGAGTATGGGTCATGAGGCAGGGGGATATGTGGGGCAGGAAGATAAGGGAATGAGAGGATGTGGAGAGGCTGTGAAAGGTAAGAACAAGCGGTAGTGTATAGAAGCAGTAAATGTGCAGAACTGAGATGGGGGCAAGAACTGATCTGAACAGCAAAAGGGTTGATGGGGGGGAGTAGCAGGGCTCTAGGTGGAGGCGGTGGGCACAGAGGTTAAAAACCAGGCCAAGGGCAAGTTCATCTCCTGATCCTCTTTCCCCGGTTGTGTGGCCAACAGAGGACCAGCTCCCACCCGGCTTTCCAAACATCGACATGGGACCCCAGCTGAAGGTGGTGGAACGGACGAGGACGGCAACCATGCTGTGTGCGGCTAGCGGGAACCCGGACCCCGAGATCACGTGGTTTAAGGACTTTTTACCTGTCCACCCCAGTGCTAGCAATGGAAGGATAAAGCAGCTGAGATCAGGTAAGGCGGCGTCCCTCGGGGAGTCTGGTAGGATGCCTGCCATTTAGAGAAAGGTTTGCGGGTGTGGCTAATGAAGTACACCCATCTTGCGTGCCTCGCGGAGACTAACACTTCGTGCTCACTAGGTTCATTTTTACAAAGCAGTTTCTGCAGGCATCCAAGGACAGGAATGTTACCCCTTTTTTTAGCAGTTGGCAGTCCATGCAACTTTGGCAAAACCAATTACACCGCGCCCATTTCTTCAGCCTCACTGCTGGCGTGAGGCCTCTTTTGTGTGGCTTTCTGGCTGTTCTGAACATGAGGCTGATGCAACCGTGACAGAAAAGTCACGGCAGATGCTTTGCCCATGGGGAGAGCCCTGCCATCTCCCTGTTTTGTTAGTAACACAGCAGACGTACATTCTGTCAAGTCGTACTGCCGGCCTTTGCCCCGCAGTGTTTTAAAAAACGTGTTGGAAGATCTTTCCTTTGCTGTATTGTTTTGAATTTTTTAAAAACACAAAAAAGCTGTTAAAAAAACCCCTCCAGGGATTGGGGACTGGATGTGTTTTTTTGGTTGGTACACAGGCACTAGCCAATCAGTGCTGTGCTTGCCTAGACTGCAGAGCACTGCGCGGTTTCAGCGCCTGACCCTGGAAAGGGAGGGAAACTGCTTGTATTGGACCTGTTACCAGGTTCCTGTAAACTCTTTTCTTCCTTTGTCTGCCACCGTTATAGCTGACCTTACAGATCTAAGCCCACTCCAGGGACCATGGCTTGCCCATAGAAAACCCTGAGAACTGCATTGTACAGATTACCACCTGTGGAGTAACTAACTTTCCTGTCTGCACAGGCCCTCACTAAAGCTAGACTTGGGCCTGTCCTTCAGAAGTTATGGCTGTTGGATCCACTCTTTGCCTGGAGAAGTGGCAGAGGTGGGGGTCTTCTCATTATGTCCACATGTATCAAGAGCTCCACATGGAGCTGCGGTGGCTCAAGTGGTTAAGACGCTGAACTGCAGGCTGTGGAAGGTCAGTAGTTCAGCAGTTCAAGACCCGGGTGCTGCAAGACTCCCGTCTCTAGTTCCAGCTCCTGCCAACCTAGCAGTTCAAAAGCAAGAAATTGCAAGTAGATAAATAGGTACCACTTCGGTGGGAAGGTAACAGCGTTCCGTGCGCCTTGGTGTTTAGTCACGCCGACCACATGACCACGGAAACGTCTTCGGACAGCGCTGGCTCTTCGACTTGGAAACGGAGATGAGCACCGCAACCCTAGAGTCGGATTCGACTGGCTTTCGAGCAAGGGAACCTTTACCTTTACCTTTATCAAGAGCTCAGCAGCCTCACACACATTCTCCTGCGACGTGTGGCCTCTGTGTTGTCTTTACAAGAGCAACATTAGTCCTTTGCAGGTTTGGCACATGCAAATGAAGCGCCAGGTCTTCCAGGATTCTGGTGCGCATGACCTGAAGCCGTGCGCACGCGTGCACAATACACAGGCCGCCCCTTTTCAGGCAGCATGGCAACTGCATGTATTGGAAGAATCCGTGCGCGGTTGGCGGGCTCCTGGGAGGCATAAGACCTGGGAAGGGCCCCCTGGGACTCCGTGATCCAGTCAAGCCTGTGGGAGAAACGTGGGTCTCATTTCTGTTTCCGCAACATAAATGCTGTGTCTGGTTCAGAAGACCAGGAAAGGACCAGGTGGCATTTGGGGTCTGGGTGTTAATAAATGAGGAGCAAACATACCTGAGAAGGGAATCCAGTTAGGGCTCTTTTTGTAGCAGGAATTCCTTCGCATATTAGGCCACACACCCCTGATGTAGCCAATCCTCCAAGAGTTTACAGTAATCCCTGTAAGAAGAGCTCTGTAAGCTCATGGAGGATTGGCTACATTAGGGGTGTGTGGCCTAATATGCAAAGGAGCTCCTGCTACCAAAAGAGCCACAACATTGGAGTCCAGTGGCACCTTTAAAACCAACAAAGTTTAATACTGGGTATAAGCATGCACACTTATTTGGAGACATACTTCTTCAGATACATCTCTGTCAGAGGGTATGCATCTGAAGAAATGTGCGGGCACGTGAAAGCTTATACTCGGAAACAATGCTCCCTCTAAGCTGTGGAGTCTTGTGAGCAAAAATCCTACTTTTTGAGCTACTGGCATTAAAGCTGTGAGCAAGTAATTTGGCTGCTGCATCAATACGTTTGCTCTGGAGCCCTCCTTCCTGAGCTAAGACAGAAATGTGTGAGCCGGAGGCTAAAAAACTGTGAGCTAGCTCCCACTAACTCAGCTTAGAGGGAACACTGCCCAGCAGTAAACTCCGTTGGTCTCAAAGGTGCCACTGGACTCAAACTGTGTTCTGTTGCTTCAAACCAGCACGGCTACCCACCTGAATCTGTTTACAGAATTGGAGCAATATTTTACCGTGCACTATTCCTGCCCACCCCTCCTAGGGATTTCTTGGAACTGGTTTCAGATGGGGGGGGTTCCTCTCCCCCCCCCCTTTGAGTCCAAGCACTGTGATCCTTCCAAAGCCAGCAGAACTGCATCTTATCAGAGGGTGCAACTCACACCAAAGATGGGGATCTTCTCAGACTTTAGACTATGCTGGAGAGGTTAGAGGTTTGGAGGGCAGGATACAGCCCCAGTCCTCAGAGCAGATGCTCTTCAGCATCCATCTGTCTCTTCATCTGTTTTTTTAGTTATTGTTTCGATCTGGTGTGATCTCACTTCACTGTCTCTTGCTTTTTGGTCACCGTTTGTGCTTCCTGTCCCTGTTAATTGTTTCTGTTCCTTGTCGGTGTACGTCTCTCTTGTGTAAGCCGTGTGTTTGTGTGTATGCTCCTAACTCTTATTCGAACCCCTGAAGTGACTGTGATTTTTATCGTGGCTGCCGTCTCATTTCAAGAAACGTATAGCCATTTAATAGCACCAAGTCGGTTTGTCCTGTGAAATCTGCATAAACCCGCGTACGAGAAAACCGAATGGTTCTAACGAGGAGGAAAGGGTACCGTTTCTCTATTTTTAGCATCTGTCCCAGAAGACGTTTTCATAGAAACATCCCCTCTGGTGTGCGAGAAAGCCTCTACGGAACTGAAGTCGTGTTAGCGGAGAAATCCCCTCCCGTGAAAACTGCCTCTTCTGCCTTGCATGGAAAACAATACCTCCTGCTTGCTGATGAATTGAGGTCATCCTTTAAAAAAAAAAATCAGTCATTTATAATTAGTCCGTTAATAAAGGTTGGAAGTCTTTTTTTGTTTCTAACAACTGGGAGGGAATTATACGTATCTTTTAGTCAGTGCTCCAAATGTAAGTTGTCAGTTTGCCGGGAGCATCCCTGCCAAGATACAATTCTACCCAAGTAACTACTCCGTGTCCAGTGAGACCTGGTCGGGCACACGGGGATCTTTCCCGTAGCGGTCAGCACCTTACGCAAAGGAAGAAACGTTTTGTGAACGTGCTTATTTTATGGTAATTTTGCAGGTCCCTCCATTTCCCTGCGTAGCTTGTTCTGGATTTTGTGTTCCTCGTCAGAGGTGGGGCCCAAAGGCCTGGAGCGCCGCCCCAAACCACCGTTCCTCCTGCTGGGATGCCTGTACCCTTTCAAGCGTGGCTTTGCTATCCTAAGGACCAGAGCCTTGCTTTTTGTTTTCAAAGGAGAGCTGAGATCTTCAGGGACCCCACTTGCTGAATTCTGGCCTCCCCACAGCCCTGGGCTGTAACGGGGGAAGGGTGAATGGTTGCAGCAGTTGGACCAAGTGCCCTGCTGTGTATTCAGCACTTATTGCTCACTGACCGGCTCGTGGGAACTGTCCTGTTGGCGAAATCGGCCACGGCCCTTCAGGGTTCAGCCTGGGTGAAAGGATTTTTAAGAAAGCCACAGAGAGGCGGCCCCTCTGCAGGAAAGACCCCTTTAGAAGTCACTCCAAGGGCAGGGGACGCCCCCACCATTGACAGCCTCCACTTTTTGGGAAGCGTGACAACCTCCTAATTGGCCACCCGCTCGCGCTCCCTGGCAGGAAACTCCGGGAGCTCCTTTGCTGGTGGCTAAAGGCAATTCAGTTCTCATTTCTCGCCTCTTCTCTCTTCCTTGGCCGTTTGTGCGTGGGATTTGACCAAGGCCGGCTGCTTGGATAAAGCCGTTTTTCAATCAGGGCCGACCCACTTTCTGGGGCTGTTTGGGAGTTGCGTTTTAATCCTGGCCTGGAGCCCCCCAAAAGCCAGTTATGCAAAGCCCACTTTCATGGGAACAAATCGTGTTGAACTTTAGAGTAAATGAGATTGCCCTGAAGTGGTGGATCATTTTGGGCGTGAGATAGCAGAAATTGAGAGAGGATCACCTCGAAATGGGGCGTGAACCATATGGAAGCATTAGCCCATCTAGATTAGCATCCTCTGTCATGGAAGGGGCCAACCAGATGCCTCCGGACAGCCTCTTTGCAGGGCACAGAGGCCAAAGCCTCCCCCCGTTACTGCCGCTGATGTGCCTAGGTACACTGCCTCTAACTGTGGAGGTTCCATTTAGTCATTATGACTGGCCAGCCATTGAAGGGACCGGTCTTCCATGCAAGCTGCCTTGAACCACGGGGAAAGGTGGGATATAACTGTTTTAATAAATAGCTCTAGCTTAGTCCCCTTTTTAAAGCCAGTCAAACTGGTGGCCATCCTGTGGCAGTGAGTTCCGCAGGTTAATTACTCTTCACGCAAAGAAGTGCTTCCAGAATCTACTGCCCAGCAACTTCACTGGATCCCCCAACCACCAACACCAGCAACAGAGATACGGGAGATGAGGAGGAAAGCTACTGTATAGTAATGGAAATTGTGTTTTTGTGAAATAGGAAGAGGGCTTCAACGGAATTTATCTGTCCAGCCCAGGGTTGGCCCTCCAAGATCTCAGGCAGAGAAAGGGCTGTCCCGCCTCCTCTACCTTGATTCCCTTTTTACTGGAGGTGCCGGGGACTGATCCTGACATCTTGTGCATGCTGAGGACAGCTTCTCTGTGCCTCAGCTTCCCTCTGTCAG